CGCACAATTTCTACTCAAAACTAGCCCAAAAACCAAGGACTTGGCAACAATGCCACTGAGCTCGGCTCTCGGTGATGACGTCACCACGCACGCACGCTCAGCCAGCGTCGAGTCTCTGTCCATTCAAGCGGGTTTCTTGTGTTTACACAACCAAACACAGTTTATTTAAGGGCAATTTCTGCCTTGTTTTCGTCGGGTTCAGGGCAATTTCTGCCTCTGCTGATTAAAACACTTACAGCAGACAACGAACATGTAAGGAAAGTGTGTTTTGGTCTTAGCGTATTTGTGTTTTTATGTGACTTAGCCTTTGGTTGTTTGATTGTTTCGCTGTTTGTTGAGCCGCTCAGAACATTTTAAACCGTACATAAATACCTCAGTGGATATAGATACATAGGAAGTTGAGTTTTCAGACATACCAAAAAGATGTGTTAGTGATATAATCACTTAATTGCTGTGAATGCAGTTATCAGCAATTCTAACCATGTATAGATTCATATGCAAAACAATGGTTGATCAATATGTTGTGTCATTAGTGTCTATCTTTATATTGTCTGGTATTCTTTCTGTATCATATTATGTAAAATAATCATAATGTTTTAATAGAGCAGTTTTATAGTCTTTCACCAACTAGCTTTAAGCAAATAATCAGTTTCTACCCACAGATGCTTATATTTATAGTGAGATGATCTGCTGCTGATCCTGAATGGTTTGTTTATTGAATGTTTATAGTCTGAGGCTCATCAATATTATCAGCTGCTGAAAATCCTCTTTATTTCATGTCAATAGATCCTGTTTTCACCTCATTCATTATGCTGATGACTTCAGATCTGTTAATTGCAGCATTAAGCTCATTTTATTGGCGTCAACACACTTAAGCAAATGAGACAATCACCTATTGTGGCATCTACTAGATATATCATAACTACATTTATTTCATTAATCTGTAATAACCATGTTTCATATAAAACACAAAACTGAAACATTATCAAAAACAAAAATTGTTAATTTAAACTCAGTTGTACCTTGCAAATTTGCAAAATTATATTTCTGTGTTTATTTGTTCAATTTAAATATATGAATGAAATTCGTAGAAACTAAGAAGGGATACCGTTTTTGAATTACACTGTGATTAATTTACTCAAAAGTTACTTTGAGATGAATAGATAGGTGAACATCAATAGTTAAAATGTGTGAATTAGTGTAAAAACAAACTCAGTAACTGATTTATCTTAATTTTGGCAGATCTGCTCCTCCTTCAGTGAAGCTCCTCCCACAACACAGAGACAGAGTTTATTGAAGGACAGAGAGAACATGAGAGATCCAGAACCCTGCAGAATGAAACACACTGAAGAACAAACAGGTTGGTGTTAATTCTTGATTCTTCATCAATGAAGCTGAAGAACAATAAGAATATAAAGCTTCAAGCAGTTCTTCAAATTTAGTGTTTGTAGTAGAAAAAACCTTGTTGTGAATGAACGTAGTTAAACTAATAAATAACATTGGGTAGACTCTCTACAGATGGTACTCAGCCAGAATAATACTTTTACCGCTGCGAGTATTTGCTGCCTTTTATCGCCAAGTGGCTCTTTAACCCACAGACTTTGAGTCTTCAAGTTCAAACCCACAAGTTCTTTCATTATTCAAAGACTTTGTATGACAAAATAGTATTGTTTTTTTTATTATTATTTAAAAACGAATAAATGAATACTAAAATTTTCAGATGAAAATTTAAAATAATACAAAAATAAAACTGATTAAAAATACTATAATAACACTGCTTAAGTTAACTTTCCCCACATAAATGACACATTTTCAAGGTTTACAAAAAAAAATAAGTTCTATTACAGGTTGGCATGTTTGTATTCCCTGTGCAATTTGTATAATGAACAATACAGAGTCTTATTCTTTTTATTGCGATATGTTTTTTTACATTTGTATTGCACAATTAAAACTGTGCAAAATGAACATAACATAAATGAAGAACGAATGTTTCTTTGTCTCTCTCATGCGGATGCGCTGGTCTCTTTCGCTAGTTTCTTTGTCTCTCGTTGAAACAAACCCAAGCAACCCTGCATATTATATTATACATAACACTGTATATGCAGCTGCGTGCCATTCACATAAAAAAAACAACGTTAACAAATGATTTTGCTTTTGTGCCCTAAAAGGAACTGAATACCTTGAGTTATAAAAAGAAGGTTGATCACAATTAAAACAGCTCTTCATCTCCTGCTCCACTCACATTTCTTTCTCATCGGCAGGGACGCTTTACCGCAACAGTTCCTGTTTAGATAATATATAATTGTTGACAATCACCACACACTGCTCAAACATTATAAAACCCTATAAAACTAATTGAATGCTTGGATCGAACACAATCTACAGGTGCATATCAATAAATTAGAATGTCGTGGAAAAGTTCATTTATTTCAGTAGTTCAACTAAAATTGTGAAACTCGTGTATTAAATAAATTCAGTGCACACAGACTGAAGTAGTCATAAAAATGCATTTTTATCTGGCTCTTTGCCTAAAGCTGCTCTGTAAGTTTGAAACGTCATCAGACACTCTCCGTATGAAAGAGCAGTGATTCACACCTCTCTATTTCAACCCCCACGATGGAGCTGCTCAATTGCCCAAAACCCCTCCGACTGGACTTACACAAATGAAAATTCAGTCACACTGCTGCATAAGTATGGTGTAACATTAATCAGTGTGTTTTTGAATGGCAGAACACACACGTTTCTGCATTAACAAATAAAAAATAAACAATGTTCTAATAATAATTAAAGTTACATTCAAGTTTATCTGTGCCATTGACTCGACTACAAATTAACTTTCTGTAAAATGCTGTTCGCTTGATGTATTCCAATAATCTTTGCTAATATTCATTAATCTTCTAATTGCTAACACTTTGCAGTTTCGAATTATGTCTTTACTGTATAACCAAAAATGACAGCGTATTTGTTTCAACTAGGGATATGCCGGTATCAAATTTTCATGTTGTGATTAATTGCTAGCCTATTAAGACTAAATGTTTAAGTAGATGGCGCTGTGATGAACATCATAGCAAATACACAAATCTGAATGGCTGTTTAAATCATTTAAACACGATTCAGAAACAGAAAGTAGTGCAGCTGCTTTGTTTACAGGGTTTCCGGGGTAACGGCTGCATTTCTGCAGTTTAGCGCCATCTGCTGTCAGAGAGTGAAAGTGCGCTTTCATCCAGAGCGTCTCTCACATGTTCTGCCATGTGCTTCTCGTCCACGCTTGTTTACATCAGAGTGCGCATGCTTCTTTCACAGCATACAGCGGTGTTGTGCATTTTGACCAGTTGATGGGAAAAGTACTCTTAAAATGCATTCAAAATTCGAATAATTTGTAATATATAATTATTCACGGTATTTAGAAGTGCCCACGATAACAATATCGTGCATATTCATTCCCGTGATATATCGCATTACCGAATACCGGCACAAGTCTAGTTTCAACTGTTTGATCACGCCGGCGTCTCACACGTACACTGTATATTCATTGCAAACAGCGCAGCCTGTTTATTATCAAAATGAAATACAGTCACCCAAACATATAAAAAGTTACACTAGTCAATTTAAATAGTCTGTGTTACAATCCGTGATGCACCGGTCCACTGTGGTACATTTTTGCTCATCATGATTTTTTCCCCCCGTCAATATTGTAATGCAGGTGAAATACAAAGCCTAGTTTACCTAATAAATAATAGTTTAGCTTCAGATACATCGCGAATATGGAAACATTTGGATTTGTGCCGAATGAGAGAGGTAGGCTACATGAGCCCAACTTTACTCTGTTTCGCTTTAAATTAATTTGTTTTGGCTTGTTTATTGCTAGGCATATTCTGCAGTTATATTATAATTATTCATAACAATTGAATAAATGATATATTTTTTTCGTTCTTGTTCTGTTCTGAATACGGTTAAATTTAAAAGATTTGTTGTGGAGTGAGGGGAACTAAAATAACCTATGTAGTGTTGGTACATTATAACATTACGCTTTATGTAGGCCTGCCGGTATTATTTCTGATTAGAATGTTATAAAATGAGACATATGTGACTTATGTTTTATTTTTCCGCTTAAAAACTTAAACTTTATGTTTAGCGTGTTTTAAAAAAAAAAAGATGATTAATCGATTAAACATTCTTAGTTTTGCTTAACATATTTACATTATTCTTATGCTTGGCTTCCCAGATAACAACAGACTCTGGGCCAATCTGGCTTACATCCTGGCATTGTTTTTTTTTACAGTCTTGATTGTAGATGTTTGTGATTTTTATTTATGTATGATAGATTCTTGTGTATTTATGTTATCAATGACTACTTGCGTTGGTCAGAAACTGAAATAACTTGAAATGTTAAAAAAAACTCAGAACGCCAAGGCAATCAAAAATATAGTGAAAGATAAAAAGCCTTTATTCTCACATGGCTTTACATTAAAAACAAAAGTCACAAGTCATCAAAACTTTGTTCTCTCCACCGGACTCGTGTGGGTCGGTGAGGTATAGGGCTGGGAAAATAAATCGATGCATCGCGAATCGAGAAATGATTCCGCATCGATTCTAAGATTTTCCGAATGCATCGAGATTCTTTCTCGAGTCGATTCTGAGCTTAGTTTTGAACAGCAGATGGCGCTGCATGCTTTAGAAACAGCCGTGCTCTGCTTGTTTCCACACGCACTTGAACCTAAAATAATCATTCATAAAATTCGAAAAGGTTGAAGCGAATTACAAGAGTGTTCACAGTGGGCTGTGTTTACATTAATCTCGCATCATAAAAGCATTCTGAGTCGAGGTGAAATTACAAACTCAACCGAACGCACAAGCGCTCTTTAGCACTCTTCTTCATGAGCATTTGAGTGTGCGGATAAAAACTAGATTAGAGCGCCATCTGCTGTTAAAATCTAAGCTCAGAATCGATTCCAGAGGAATCGCGATGCATTCTGAAAATCTCAGAATCGATCTACGAATCGATTCTGCATCGATTTATTGTCCCAGCCCTAGTGAGGTAAAGAGTGGAAAACATGGGTTTGTGCCTGTAATGTTTTAAAAATGGTAATTTGGAGATCATTGTGCCTTGTTCATGGAAAATATTCAAATGAAAATGATCATAACCTTGATCATAGCCCCTACTTTCAGCTTCACTTTTATGACATTTCACCTCACATTTCTCTCTGATTTTTAAGATTTATAATGTATTTATTTAATTTTCATTTCAGACCTGATGGAGAAACATCATGTCAAAAATGGAAAAATCGATGTCAAGTCACAGACTGAAAGTGCCTCTTTACTGAAAAGAAAAGACAAGAAATCTTTCACCTGCGTTCAGTGCGGAAAGAGTTTGACATGCAGGAAGAGTCTCAATATTCACATGAGGATCCACACTGGAGAGAAACCATACACTTGTGATCAGTGTGGAAAGCGTTTCAGACAACAAGGACACCTTAAGGACCACATGAACGTCCACAGTGTAGAGAAGCCGCACACATGTGATCAGTGTGGAAAGTGTTTTGCATACAAACAGAGTCTCAAGGTTCACAGGAAGATCCACACTGGAGAGAAACCGTACACATGTGATCAGTGTGGAAAGCGTTTCAGACAATCGTCACACCTTAAGGAGCACATGAACAGCCACAGTGTAGAGGAGCTGCACACATGTGATCAATGCAACAAAACATATCTGTGGGCTTCAGGCCTGAAGAAGCACCTGAAAGTTCATTCAAAGGAGAAACCACATTCATATTTTTTATGTGGAAGCAGTTCAGAAGTCTGTCAATGGGCGTTAACAGAGGCCAGAGACCCTGAAGACGGATGCATAGAGGAGATAGAGGAGATAATACTGTGGTAGGCAGAGCAGGTCACTGTTCATGGTGAGCGAGGTATTGGAAGAAAATCTTAAATACCTCTGAGTATCTTTCTGACTGTCTTCAGAAAATTTGAGATTTTTTTTTTTCATCTTACCTCACTATAATGCATATTAAAGTGGTATCACTGCTGTTCCATAAGCGCCACCTGCTGGCAGAGAGTGAATTTGTGTTATCATTCAGCCCGTCTGCTGTTTTTGTTTTGTGCAAATGTTTTAGGTTACGCAACTTACGTAGTATAATTTCACTAAGCTGAAGACAGGCCATTCTGTTTTTGCTTCAGATTTTGAAATTATATGCAGCATCTTTGTTTGGATCCTGATTAAAGAAAAAAAATTAACTTAAATGATTTTAGCAAATGGCTGCAATATAACAAAGAGTGAAAAATTTAAGGGGGTCTGAATACTTTCCGTACCCACTGTATGTATCAGAATGCATTCAACCGTTGCAGAACCACTGCATTTGAATCAAAATCCAAACAAAGATGCTACATGTAGCATGAGCTATGACATGAAAATATCCAAATGATGTGTCATTAGTAACCCTTTGAAATAATCAATAATTTTATCATTCAGCCCGTCTGCTGTTTTTGTTTTGTGCAAATGTTTTAGGTTACGCAACTTACGTAGTATAATTTCACTAAGCTGAAGACAGGCCATTCTGTTTTTGCTTCAGATTTTGAAATTATATGCAGCATCTTTGTTTGGATCCTGATTAAAATGCAGTGGTTGCCTCTAAATTTAAATGGCTACAGAGAGTTCGGCCTGTAATAGAGCAAATAGACATCATGTTCATGTACTTATATTTTCATTCTTTCTTGCCGTTTGCTTAAAAAATTAATAAAACGGATATAAAACAGCAATCAGAATCAGCCCATTTGCTTACACATTGGAATTTAGGATCAGGTTTTGATTGTTGAGGCTTTTAATCATCAGGATCGGCAGTTTTGATGGGTAATCTTAAATTTTTGCTGGTGCTTAATATAACTTTTTGAAGTTGGGAGCACAGTGCTACCAAATAAAAAACTAAATTTTTACAGCTCAACATTTGAAACGGCACCAGAGGATTCACACTGGAGAGAAACCTTACAAGTGTTCATGTGTTCACGTTCAACCAATCGGAATGAGTAGGGGGGAGGAGCGACGAACGCGAGGTTGGGAAACGGAACAGAGAGAGATTAGCGGGCTGCTTGACGGAGTAAGACAGAAAAAAATTTAATGTAGTGCTGTCAAAGTTTATCTAGCGACAGTGTTCATGTCCTAGATCACACACAGGTAATATATGTATATATTTGATAACGGGAAGGTTGTACACATTTATTTTATATTTAATTTTTTATGTATTTTCAATATTGTGTGTTTGAACATACTATGTACAGTGTATTCCGAGGTATTTCAAATGCTAACCAATGAGATGTTTCATTGCTGCGACAAGAGATTCAATCAGTCAGCAAATCTGAAATCACACGAGAGAATCCACACTGGAGAGAAACCGTATCAGTCACAATAAGATCATCTTCAGAGGCCGTGTCCTCACTAAACCTGACACAATAATGCATTGAGCAATAAAATCTCTTCTGTATAAATCAGTCCTAATTAGCCAAAACAAACAGCAGGAAAAAGAAACATCATCTAGTTTTCACCGTGAATAAAGTTCATCTTAAAGTTCAGCAGTTTCATCTGTGAGATTCAAATCAACTCAAAGAGGATTGTTTTGGATGAGTTTTGTATTGTTCAACTTTCTCAAAGTAAAAGTGTTTTACATGTACAAAGCCGTTCTTGTTCAGGAAGCTAAGAAGAGGCTCGTTCTTTATTGTTGTTTTTTTGTTTATCGTCAATAAAAGGAGAAATCTGTCTCATTGGTTTCTATTTTCACTTACTTTTTTTATTTGCTTCACCAAGAATTAAAATCATTAATAATTCTATCAACAGCTTTTATTGTCTATATACTGTCTGCTGATTGCATATTATCATCTAATGAATAAATCATCAAGCCATTAACTATTGTGATTGTTTTTGTGCTTTCAACTCATTTTGTCGGTGTGAAACAACACCGTTATGGAAAATTAAAAGTTAAAGCTTCAATCTCCTCCCAAAAGTGTCCGTATTTACTTCACTCAGAGAAACTGCCAATTTAAAGCAATAAGCCCCAAGAAGCCGTGGTTTACAGTGAATTTATAACAGCTATTCTGACTTGAATTATTTGTTTGTACCTGCAAACACTCGAATTAAAGTGAGACGATCTGCAGGCTGGTCCTGAAATGGTTTATTGAATGAGTGTTTATAATCTGAGACTCATCAATATTATCAGAGCAGCTGAAAATGTCAATAGGTGTCCTGTTTAGAATCACTATTGAATAGTAATGAAATTAAATAGTTGTGGTAGTAACAGAACTTATGGCTAGTGGGGCTTGAGACGTTGGTGATTCATTGTTTCTGTAAAAAAAATAATAATAATACTGATAAGATAATTACTACTAATTCTGCTACTAGAGCTGGGCGGTTTGACTCAAAATCTGGATCATGTTAGTTTTGTTTGTTACTTTTTTCAAAGGATTCTGGCGGATTCACGGTTTATAATATTTGTTCTCCCTGAGAGCCTTTATACAGTGGGTACGGAAAGTATTCAGACCCCCTTAAATTTTTGTAATATATGTATATATTTGATAACGGGAAGGTTTTCCATGTGTTGAAAGACTAATGCATTAGGTCTACTCTGTTCATCGTAGCAGCCGTCATATATATGCACAGACTGTAGCGTTGTTCTATTGTTTCTTCGGGATCTGAGGACCCAGAGGAGTCACGGACCGCATTGGAGTGTTTTCAGGGCGGTTATATGGCAAAAGTGGACTGTTCGTCGTGTGAAAGGAGCACAGGCTTTCGTGCGTGGGACTCATCGGCCATTTTCTGGTGTGTGACGCATCACTTATTTCAGCGTTGGACTGTTTTCCTGTGCCTATCGAGGAGAAGAGGATCAAAGCTTCACATAATCGCTTCTCTGCGCGACTTGGAGAGTTTCGCTGTAACAGAGTGGAGTAACTGGGTGAGCAACCAGTTTGACAGTGTACTTTAAGAACTGCATCATCCGAGTGTGACTGCCATTATGTGCACCACCGAATAAGGGCGCCAACGAAATCCAAGCGCTTGGTTTAGAAACATTTAAGGAAGTATAAGGGTGAATATGTGATTAAAGTTCCATAGTGGTATACAACTGCAACTAACTAATAACTGGTATTATCCACTTGAATCTGCAGTTTTTCTTATTTCTCTGTGTTCATTCTATAATTTACTTACACTATAAAAAAGGGGGATATCTTATTTTTGTTTTAAATTTTAGAGTTTTTGTTTGGTAAAAATAAACAAATTTGTATTTGTTACTACTTTTGTATTTGTTTAATTGTATATTCTCATTGAGTAACTTGATTACAGTGTGGTTTATAAAGAGAACAGCCCATAACAAATAGGGAAATTAATTTTATTTAATCAAGAGTAACAGTGTACACAAACTATTTTCTTTGTGTATAGTTGACACATTTTTGGAGGCACCGCATCAGAAAATATAATTTCTATAAAACATAACTTTCCAGAGATAACCCAGCCAACTCACCATCAATTGCTGAAGCCCAGGTATTGCTGTTTTATGTGCCTTTAACAGTAGTGTTACATTTTTGGAGGCACCACTGGGATTTGTGTTTTCTCTGGATTTTTTTTCTGCTGGAAGGTTGTTGTTTTTTTCTCCCTCTTTTATTTGTATTGTAAAACTTTGTGAGACATGGATATTTCTAAGGCTGGTGAATGGAGCCGTCAGGCGCAAATAAATCCATCTCGTTGTCTAATACTCAGTGATGTCCCAATAGATGTGAGGGATGAGACAATCGCAGATATACTTAATACAGTGAAGGCATTTGGTCGTCCCAAAATTCATGGTAAACGAGGAGACCCTACAGGAATTAAGTTGTTCTTTTTGCTTGAAACCAGTAATGATATTGATCCAGATACTGTACCACCAGAGATAGGGATTCCTGATGAGGCGGGCCCATGGAGGGTACATGTACCTGAAAAAATGGTGACAGATCCTTCAGTGGGAGATGCTGTTTTTCAGGATAAGTTGTTGTCCTTGTTGCAGCAGGAAGGAAAGTCGCTGGAGGATGTGAAGTCTATGCTGGAGCAAGGTCAGTCCTCTAATGTAAATGTTCATCTTGATTTGGTGAATGCTATTGATCGCCTTGTGGAAAAGTGTATCCATGTGCCCAGAGAAACTTTGGGTTACAGGAGATTAAGAGTATTTTCAGGTGTAAAACCAGTACCTGCTGGGGAGAAAGAACATGACCCCTGGATGGAACAGGCTGTCCAAATGATCAGCGAGTGGCAGTGTGCCGATTCTGTGAAAAGGCACGTATTGTTGAGAGTTTGCGGGGACCCACTTCAGACATAGTTCGGTTTCTAAAGGTTAGTAATCCAGCTGCCACAGCAACTGATTATCTGGTTGCTCTGGAAACTACCTATGGAAATACTGAAAGTAATTCTGATCTTCTTGCAAAGTTCAGGAGTACTTACCAAGGGGAAAGTGAAAAGATTTCTGATTTTCTTTATCGGCTGGACAAGCTCCATCATCGCATGCTTGTAAAAGAAGGGGTTGTAGCCACTGATTTGAATCGCATGCGTATGGAGCATGTGGTTAAGGGAGCTCGTAATACTGATATGGTAGCACTACGACTAAGAATGACTAGGAAGAGAAATCCTCCTAGTTTCTCGCAATTGTTACGAAAAGTAAGGGAAGAAGAGGATTGGATCAGGGCTAGAGATGGGGGAAAAGTAGTGGTTGCTGCTGCATCTGTTCCACAGGCTTCTCTCGTGTCTGAATTGAGGAGTATAAAGCAAGAGGTGAGTGCACTCACAGCTGCAACTGACCCTGTTCCTGAACATTCTTCAAAGGCAACTGGCCCTGTGCGTCAAGTGGCGGATGCTAGTGCTACAGAAGCTTCCAACAAGAAGAGCACATCCAAGTTTTCTCAGCCTGGAATTTTCTGTTACAAGTGTGGTGAGGATGGTCACACAAAGAGAGAGTGTCAAGGAACTGA